GAGACGATTTTTTTATTAGCGGGCGAGTTATCCATCAAGTTTTTCATAGCGCCGCGACTTTCGTCGCAGTTTTTATTTTTTGATTACAGAGATTAAGGGATGAAACTGGGGTTGCTGGATGGGGAATTATATTCTCCATTNGTCGCAGTTTTAATTTTTTTATAACAAAAATTAAGGGATGAAACGGGGGATAAATGGGGAATCTAATTCTCCATCGAAAAGTCCTCGTCTCATCCCTTAATATTAATTAGCGGGCGAATGAATCAACGGAAAAACATAAAGTAAACATTGAGGACAATGAGGACATAAACCCCCCTTCGAACCTACCCCTGTGACAGCGGGACTGCTATAGGGCTTCTAGCAGATGTTTTCCCTGCCCAGGATACTCCCACTCTACGTAATTCCCACTCATATGCTTGTCCCCCACTCCAAAAATCCATGGATATTCTCAAAGAGGATTGACTAAAGTAGAGGCTCAGATCTCGGGGTTAGACTGACCCCAAGCCAAAAGTAGTTCGACCCCAACGCAGGGATGCCGCCACGGTCGAATCTGACGGCTGGGCAAATTGCCTGTGCGGGTAACTCGGCAGTAGTAGTGTTTCCCGATACCTTCAAAAGTATCGATACTCGGTATCGTATCGGCGGAGAGGCGTCAGTATCGATACCACCAAATATCGCCTTTGCAAATATCGATACTCAGAGTATCGATACTTTTCAAAATTTTTGATGACAACCATATTGATTGCACCATGTAGTTGGCCGACATACGTGAAAAATGATATTTTTCGTTTTTTTATGGGTTCTATATATTTACAATCGTTTATACTTCCGTAATTTGTCAACATTGACGATTGTAAATATATAGAACCCATAAAAAAACGAAAAATATCATTTTTCACGTGTGTCGGCCAACCACATGGAGCATTTTTTATTTATTTATAAATTATTGGTTAGAGAAGAAACAATTATGAGTGCGGAACAATCAGGTACAGACCTAGTACAAACGATTTAATTATTTCGTTTTTCAATAATCAATTACTTGTCGGCGAAGTACATATCAATCAATCATTTGCAATCATTTTTGCGTAGCAATTCGCAAATTTCATGTACAAAATTCGTTATAGTCTTCCGGAAATTGATGAAATCAATGCAAAAGTTATCATCTGCTCATAGAAGAACATAAAGGCGATCATAGAAGATCACAGAAGGTCATAAAAAACAAAATTTTCAACAAATGGTAAATGAAAAAAGTACTATAGAGCAAACTTAAATTTTTATTCAGTTTTTCTTTCTCTCATTAACATCCATATGCATAAAAAAACATAGTAATTCTTATGATGAAGAATAATACTGCAGCTGTCGCTGCGTTTATCAAAATAGCAATAAAGCTCTCAATCGTTGAACATTTCTTAACTTACAAATGAACTACTGTGTGCTGTGGAAAAATTCATTTTCCAATACAATTTCGTCTTTAAACTCAACGAATCATCATAAAATTGTTTTGTGAAGCAATTATTTACATTTTAAACAAACAGTAATAACAGTAATTTGAGACTTTTTTGATAAAGCTGTTGTGAGCTCATTCGAGCACAGCTTTGATAAACCACCCGTAAAGCTTAAAATCTTTGAGCACTTCTCAACTTACTGAATAAAGTGTATCACGAATAAATGTGTTCTGGGAAAATCAATTTTCCCATAGAACCACGCCTTAAACTTACGGAATCTTCATAAAAATTGTTCACATTTTAAACAACTAATAATACATTGAACTTTTGCAATGATATGGTGAACTTGCAAAAATTAAATATCAGAAAGAGCCCAGTCTTCGAATTCAAGAGATTTTAGAAAGATCGTCATTCGCACGTGCGTCGGGCTGAGGCGGTTACGTTTAGCTGTAACTATATTCGAAGCACTTGAGAAGAGCCTCTCACATGGAACCGAAGATGCTACAGTCGAGAGATATTTAATTGCGATTTCTGCCAGACGTGGAGCATTTCCCTTCTGACCAACCCAATAGGCCATTGGGTCACAATTTACTTCAGGTTTCTTATGAATGTACTGTTGTAGGTCACCATGCAGTTTTCCCAGGCTCGGTTCCTCAGGTAAGCACTGGATGTGCCTTTCAACTCGATCACGATGACGTCTCCAGAACTCATTGGTGTCAGCTTGACATATGACTTCAGGGTCAGGCTGCTGGAGCCTTTGCTCGTCATGGCGGTCAAACATGTGTGTGTTTATCAATCGCAAGGTGCGAGAGCATGAGAGTGGAGAAAAGTAAACACGTTTGAACCGTGGATCAAGTAGGGTAGGAATCGATAACAATGGTTTATCGTCACAATGAGCAAATTGTTTGTCCAGTTCTTGGATCAAAAATCGTTTCATCTTCTTGCCAAGCTCTGTGTGGCATTCGTACCCCCCAATATCTTCGCGGAGATCAACGATTGCTGGTATAACCCTACTGCTCGTAACATACTTTGCAGCACTAAAATCTGTAGTGAGAACAGAAGCAGGTCGTAGTATTCCTATCAAATCTTGTACTTATGCAAGTTCTCCGCGAGTTAACATCTCTGGTGCCTTACGAATCCTCAGTAGCACAGAACTGATCTTATCGACTAACATGACGAAACGATTCAACATTGCACACGTTGAATTCCAACGTGTACAAACTTCCTGGATAAGTCGATAATCGAAGTTTTTGTCAAACTGTGCTTCATGTAAGGCATCGCTTGCAGAAGTTGATTGTTTGAAAAACGTGACAATGGTCTTGACTTTGTCAACCAATTTTTTTATGTTATTCTTCACTTCTGTCACGTTGGGGTCCTCAATGATGTCTCCAGCAAAATTGTCTTCTCCCTCAATCGCCTCTTCTCCCTCAAGATTACTGTCTTTCTCTTTCTTGTGTATCACATTATTGATGCATAAATTGAGTTTGTGAGGGAAGCACTCCATGTGCTTACGTGCTCCAAAAGTCTCCTTCACTGCCTTTTTCATGTTCGCCCCGCCATCAGTGACGACTGCCGTGACTCTCTCTTTCTCAATCCCCCAGGTTCTCAGGAATGAATCGAATTTCTCCGAGATATAATCGGCGGTTCTCCTCTTCGTCAACAGCATTGTGTCAATATTATAGGTTACAGACTTCTCCCCATTCCAATAGTGTACCGTACATCCGAGAAATCCTCGGTTCGTCTTTGTTTCTGTCCAAATATCGGTGGTAATTGTCAAACTGACAGCTTTTTTCAATTTGTTCTTGATAATTTCTCTCAAAGCTGAGTATTTTATCTCCATGAAATGAGTGATGGCGTTCTTCCCTGGTGCATTGTAATGAGGAGCAACGAGGTTCAAGAATTTTTTCATTCCTTCTTTCTCCGTACTGTACAGTGGCATCTCATCCTTGATGATCATGTATAAAAGTGCATTCTTCAAAGCAGCATTCCCGGTTCCACCGTCGGAAACCAATGTAATCACATAAGTGAGGAGAAAAACACTTCAGGAGGTAATGGCACATAAACATATCGACCAGTATGTAATTGGCACTGAGGCAGGCACGAATTTTTGATTAAAAATAAATTTTATATCTAGTACTGGACACTTCGAAAATTCTTATGCAATTCAGGTAAAATTTCTAGTTGTTTCTGACACAATTTATAGAAATATCAGTGAAAATATCATATCAGTGTAAGAACAATTCACACGTCATTCTACTTCTCTGTGCTGGCACTAAATTTTCAAAGAATAAAATCTCCTCGTTTCTCTGCGAAAATCCATCCTCACGAGAATAAAAAGGGTGGATATTGAGGGTGTTTAGATATCAATTTTTAGAACAATCAATGATAAATTGAATTCGAAAAATGCGATTGAAAAAATAAATTGAATAATTCAAAACTTCGTTCTCCTGGAAATATCCAACGATTGGGGAATCAAAATTGGTCGAAATCCAACAGAAGTCGAGAGATTTCCTTGTAATTTCGAGGAAGAGCAAAAAGTGTTTAAAAATTTTTAAAATTTTTAACGAATTAAGAAATTGTCTAGAAATTCTACAGAAAGCCAGGAAGTTCATCAAGACTTTGATAAAATTCAAGTAATTTCTAGTTTTTTGAGAGAATTCGAAAATCCTAAACGTCTTAACCAAATGCAGCGAACTGCCAGTAAATTCAAGGAAATCCAAGCATCCTACAGAATTGAGCTGAGAGAAAAAATCTCACACGAACCTATAACAGTTTTTGCTTTCTCCCCATTTCCATCACATCTGTCTTTTTGGGTTTTTTTCTTGGAATTCCCGTGGATTTCAAGTATCTGCTGACCAGAACCGACACTAGCGGACCTCGATTTGTCCTCCTTGTCATTCCTAAACTTATAAAGCTTTTGTTTGAGACTTTCTTGAGGTCTTGATTCGACTGGAGCGGGAGAACGAGTAGTGATTTCATTTTCATCTTCAGGGTCTCTTTGTCTTGGTTCCAGACCTCGATTCGAAAGCGAAATGCATGAATCCTCATTCAATTCTGCTGTTGGAATGCTTGAGTCGGCAACATGAATTTCATCCCCACCCCATTCTTCCAGTTGTTCTAAGAGTAGAAATTCCTCCGTTAAACCATTATAGACTTCGTCGCTAGAATTTCAATAATTTCTTCATCTATTAATATCTTCTAGTAATTTAATTGATTAATTTAACACTTCTTGTACGAAAAATTTGATAAAAAAACCCTGGGGAATTCGTGTCTATTAGTTTTTAATCGATTCTGTTGAAATGTTTCATAGGAAAACTTATGTAGAAAGATGAATGGAATTTGATTTTTAATAACAATAGCTTCTGCTCGAATATTTTCACCTGAATTGAGTCGTTTCAAATTTTTTTTTTTCAGTCGATTTTTTTTTGTTTCTTCATTCGATAAAAACGGAACGGAAAAATAGTATGTTGTTGGGAGAAATTCTGTAGAAAATATCTCAATGAATGGAGCAGTACAAAAGAAAAGAATACTATTGAATTTTTGATGAGATATTCCGTTTCGAGAATGTCACTAGAATTGCTCAAACACTACTGCAAAAATGCATAGAAACTCAATAAAATTGTGTATCCAATTCCTCACATAGTCTCATGATATTGTGCTACCCACGTATTTGATAATATGGGAAAGTTTACGCACTATTTGATTCCGTCGATACTCATGTGAATTTCATTGATGCTTAAATCGTCATTTGGCAGGAGTCCTTTAGCAATTAAGGCAAGGGCCAATCCTTCTCCTCCAGATTTGCTCCCTAGGATAACATTTTTTACATTTATAACAAAAATTTACATTGGAATGGAATGAAATTTTGCCCAAGAGATAGCCTCTCGATTCTATCAGAATATCACGGAAATTAGTCTAATTTTTTTTCACTTTTCCAATTTTTTTTGTGATCACTCAATTTCAATCGCAATTCGATATTCAACTGATAACTTTCACGAAGAAGTATAAACTATTGGAATTCAAAAATCCATTCAGAAGCTAATTACCAATTTTTTAGCAACAACAACTATACTACGTTTGACACTATACCATTATCGACTTGTTTTTTATGAATAACAAAAGTAATAATCATTTTCTTCTGTGCCAACCTGTAGCTTGCCGGTATTCTTCCCAGGCTAGTCCCCTCACACGATACTCATCGCCTCGATTTACGGAGAAGAATAAATCGTAGGTTCTCTCGGAAGTTTTCACTGGAACAAATGCCATAAAATGATCAACACTGCCTCTAAATCCCTGCGTGGATTTTTCATTAGAAAAAACTGTTCAGAAAAATAGCTCTATCATTGAAACATTTCTTATTGCAGATTTCAAATTCTATTAACAATTTCCTTCCAATAGTTGGTCATTCCATTCTTCAGAAACAGAGTATCTCAATGAGGTTATGTAAAGTTGGCGGGAGCCCCCTCAGATACATAACAAGCATATTTTTGAGTGACATATCGTAGTAAAGAATGAGTAGACGAATACTTACTTGCTTTCTCAGAATGCATTGTTCTGTTGTTTGTTTATTGTGTACTATCACACGATTGTCAGGCCCTTCCTTGTGATGTCCATGCCAATCCGACTGACCGAACTTTCATCAACAACGTGTTCTAACCGGAAACCGGATTTCTCGCACACGCGCAAGCGCATAGATTTATGCGGCTTGAGGTCAGTGATTATGCGTTAAAAATAGCGGTAAATGGACAGGCGATTCTAAAATAAATAAGGAAATAAAAAAAAACCAACGGTACCCAGCGACAGGTTTATTTTAATCAATTCCACCACAATTGATTGATTAATTAATATTTTTGAGGTCAATTTTCATTTCTCATCTAACTTATCTCTGAGAAAATATCGTTCCCAACGATACTGACCTGAGAATATCGATACACCTAGTATCGTTCCGCGTAAGTATCGATCCCAAATATCGAGTATCGTAACGAAAAGTATCGATACTAGTAAGTATCGAAGGTGTATCGGGAAACACTAGGCAGTAGCAGTCCCGCTGTTACAGGGATAGTTTCGGAGTGGAATCTGTGTCCTCCTCGTCCTCAGCATGTTCTTAATGTTTTTCAGGTGATTCATTTGCTGGCTAATTAATATTAAGGAATGAAACACAGAGGGTGTGATGGAGAATTAAATTCCCCATCAATCGATCCCCGTTGCATCCCTTAATCTCTGTAACAAAAAAATACAAACTACGACAAAGTCATGGGCCAGTGAGAAAAATAATTTTGTTCTCGGCGCACAGTGACTTTTCACCATTCGCTCGCGAATTAAAAATTCACTTCTCCCCTCCTAATTGAGATTAAGGCATG